CCTCCTTCATTTTTCAAGTCGTTTAAAAAAAGGGATCCTCTCCATGCCCTTACGATGGGGAGGAAGGGGGAAAAAAATAAGAGTATGTTCGATAATACAAGAATTTCGATGTAGAGTTAATTTTCAAAATGCCCGTCCCTCCCCTCTTCCTTCCCCCTCGCACGGGTGGTCGGGAATCGGTACGGACGGGCTATCAGGAAGGGGGAAAAGGGGGCGAAAAAAAGGAGCAGCGGGGGGAGAAGGGGCCCCACCACGCGAGAGGGGGGGAGTCCTGGCCAGTGATTGCCGACATCCGTTATTTCGAAAGAGCGTCCCCGGCCTGGTGTAATATATCCCCATCCTGCACGCCAGAATCATTATCCCTAATGACTCGCGCGTGTCGTCCAGGCGAAACCGCCCCGCGCGGGTTTTCCGCCCGGAAGCCGCGGCCAACTGACCCCGGGTCAGCATTCCCGTCCATTTTCCGGGACCTTGCCTAAAGCCCGTTAAAGAGGGGACAAAAGAAAAAAAAGACGACTCCTTTTTCCCAGGTCGCGACAGGTGATCGTCGCCCTGTGTCTCCGGGCCTCACCTGTCGTCCCCCCTCGCCGATGAGTTTCCTGGAATCGTTGAAAGGGGGAAATCCCCCGAGGGGGGAACGCCTCCCAAATTCGACAATACTCGCGTCCTGCTTAAAAAAATAAATAAATAAAAATAAGAGCAACAGTAAAAAAAATATCTAAAAAATGAAATTCCTCATTTTTTGAAGGAATAAAGCAATCACCAAATTCCCTGCCGAGGTACGCTTTTTCATCAGCCGGCAAGTGACAGAACCCCCTGTGACGAAAAGAGCTAGCAGCTTTATTCGCCTTCCCTCCCCCCGATTCTACGTAAATCATAATCGAACATAACCGCGACCTCCGATTTCGCGGAAACCGCCAGCGATATCTCTCGATAAACTTCCGCGAAAAAAATGAAAAAATAAAAAAACAAGGGAGAGAAAAAAAGAGCCTCGCGAACGAACCGCGGCGTGAAAATTACGAGTTCGGCCATGGGTACCCGCAGTGGATAAAATCGTGCCGGCGTGAAATCCCGCAACCAAAGTTCCTAGGAAAAAAATAAATAAATAAATAAAATAATAAAAAATATACAAATCATAGTCGGACATATCCGCGACCTCCGATTTCGCGGAAACCGCCGGCGATATCTCTCGATAAACTTCCGCGAAAAAAATGAAAAAAAAAAAACAAGGGAGAGAAAAAAAAAAGAGCCTCACAAACGAACCGCGGCGTGAAAATTACGAGTTCGGCCATGGATACCCGCAGTAGATAAAATCGTGCCGGCGTGAAATCCCGCAACCAAAGTTCCTAGGGAAAAAAAAAAATAAATAAATAAATAAATAAAAAATATACACGTTTATATAAATATGAAGGAAAGCCTAAAGAGGACAGCTCTCGTAGAGGAAGAAAGAGGCCGCGAGTCGGGCATGGCGAAACGCATCGCGAGGGGCAGAGAGAGATAGAAACAGAAAGAGAGAGAGAGCGACGGTGCGAAATCGGCCTCCGGTTATGTAATTGATATCGTAAACAACGCCGAGGGAGCAAAATCGTTGAAAAGAGAGGAAAAGAGGGAACGAGCGAGAGGTAGCTCGGTGGGGGCGCAATATATCGCTTCAACGAAGCGCGAACGACTCGGCGGTTCCCGGTAACGATTGCGTGGGCGTGCAAGAAAAATCCGATGACACGGTTACACACGTATTCCGCGGGTATTCCGCGCGTACCCGCGCTCGCGTGAGCAGGCCGTGCGAAGAGGAGTTAAAGTCGTCGGAGGTAACCCCGAGGGGTAACAGGTGCAATCCCGAGGGTCGGCCCTCGAGGATTCCCTTTCGCGTTCCTCGCCCATTTTTTACACCCCCTACCCCCCCCCCCACTTACCACCCTCCGGTAAAGCGAATCCGTCCCTAATGGAATATCAGCCGGTTATTACGGAGTCTACGTGAAGTTACGGGGAGTACAAAGCGATGCGCCAGTCGCTCCCCCTGTTTTACCTGGCGAGCTAACCCGCCGTCCAGGTTCACCCGATAAGTGCAATTTACATATCCCCCCTCCAAAAAAAAAAAACATGGTGCAGCGTGCGGAGTCGCTACAAACCCGCCACATTTGATTCCACCCCTCCACCTCCGCGAAAGAGCTCGCGATTCAACTTAAATGACATAGAAATTAAAATTAAGGCTCGAGTTAATTAAAAATCCGTACACTGTTTCAGGTAACGGGGGGGGAGAGAGAGAGATAGAGAGGTTCCCCCGAGGGGAGTCGAATGTACCTTTGTACAGGTTACGACGTTACCTTTAGTGCACTTTGTGAATACAGAATTCCCCGTTTCATATTTGCACAAACGGGGTGGAAGGGAGGGATGCCCCGACGAGGGGGGAGGGACGGGCGAAAAAAGGAACCAGGATATCCTCAATTATCGTAGAAGAGCGACAGGCGAGTGCTTTGACGTCGGATTCATCCCCGGTAGGGATGTGCATCCCCAGGTGGGTAGTTAATAAAAAATAAGGGTTGGATTCCACGGCCCCCTTTATGGCGGTCGGGGGGGAGGGGGGGGTCGCAGGAGATGAGAAAACTGCGGTTTCAACCCCCCGAGGAGCGGTCTCGCGAGGTGGGTACACGGGAAGGGGGAGGGGGGGAAGAGGTGTAGGGTGCATACATGGTGAGTGCCGAGGGTGTACAGGTCTGTGTACCCCGTATACAGTCCTGGGTATAGTCCGTGGACAGGACGTCGCACCTGGGACCTCGGCGACGCCTCGGGCACAATGGAGCCCTCGTAAAGTCCCATTTGCACGGGGCCATAATGGAGTCCCGTGGACATCCAATAAAGTGCACTTTCGAGGGTCCTCCCGCGCGTCCCGGGCGTCCTTTTGTGGCGGTCCCTCCGCGGTCTCGCTCCCTCAGGATCTCCCCCCCTCTCGCCCTCGACCTCGAGGGCGCGCGCCTCGACCTCGCCCCGAACTTTTGTCCGGCGTCGTTGACTTCGTTCCCGGGCACTTGTGCCGGGCCAGGAGAGAGTGAGTTAGGGAGTGCCGGGAGGGGAATTTTCGGTTTTTGCCCCCCTCCCGCCTTACGACGACGCATCTCGGCCGTACCTCTCCCGGGTACCCGGAGGGTAATTGGCCCGAGCCAAGGGGGAGGGCCAGGAGGGAGCAGGACCCTCGGTAATTGGTTTAAAGTCGAGGGCACGCTTTACGAGCGCAATTTCGTTGTCTCCCATTGCCCGAGAGGGCCACCTCTCCTCGCGACTAGTCCCGTGGTACAGGGACCGAGGGGGCACCCGGAAGAAAATTGGGGGAAAAAAAAAGATATCGGAAAAAGTACCCCCTCGACCCCTGGAAAACCACTCCGAGGTACGAATATCACCATCCCGACGTTCCTCGCGACGCGAGGTATTAATAAATAAATCTACCCTCGTATAAATAAATATAAATACGCCATACGTTTCGTTCCCCTTTTCTCTCCCCTCTGGACCCCCCTTTTTCCTCCCGGAGAGAGGCCAGGACTCGAGCAACGGACGTTTCGCGCTTAACCCCGATAGGAACGATCTTCCATTGTTTCCGCGCGACGTTAAACGTCGCTTAATGGCGATTCCGCGAAAGTGGGAGGACTCTGGTCGAGCTCCCTCCCGGCAATGTCGCGCGGCAGGAAAAGGAGGACAGAAGGGGGTCAAGATTGAAGTACCCGGTGGGGTCCAGGTTGGCTCGATCGTGCCGACGGGAATCCGGGGGTTGCCTTAAGGTCGGCCGGAAAATCTCCTGTCGGGATACTCGGAGAGATAACTTGCTCGGCGTTAACGCCCGGGCAATCGCGCGAGCCAATTTTGCAAAAGCAAACTGCGGGCCGCGCCGACCGCCTCCCGGTTGCCTTTGTGCCTCGGCTTCGCAAATGTCTACACACCGCGGGCCCTTGTTTATTCGCGTTACCACCTCTCCGGGCATAGCCATTTCCCCCCCCCGTCCAAGCTGGAAACCCATTGGCACAAATCGCGGAAACCGTATCCCACATACCGCGGAGTACCCCGAGTGCCCGTAAAAAGGTTCAGAACTGCGTAAAACATCCGCGGTTGAATCTCCCGATTCTACGTGCGCCTTTCATAAAGGCAGTCATTGAAAATGACAAAAGAAAAGGGGGGTGAAAAAATAGAAACCGCGGCTTAATCCAGATCTAATATTAATCGCGTGGAGCGCCGTCGGTATTTTCGTTCCCTTCGCAGAATCGGCGACCCGCGGTAAACAGAGCCGCGACATCCGCGGATAACGAGGCTCGTGATTTACATACATAAACTCGGTGGGGGGGATCGAGTGGCGACTCGAAATACACTTTACAACGCCGCGGCCCAGATAAGTGGCCGATAAGAGGGGGCGCACAATTCGGGCGGCACGCTCGCCGAGGGACTGGCAATAAAGGCATAAAGTCCTCTCGCCTGACAATGTATTCCCTGTTGTCGGGATTCGTTCCTCGCCAACGTCGGCCTTCAATGTCAACTAGATGGGTCTTCGGACCACTCGGCGGCGCACCTTCTCCGGGTCGGCTGGCATTTAGCCCCTCGAAAACACTTTGCGAAGTCGGCGCATTGAAAACAGCGAAATGGTTGGAACTTGTCAGAAGTGGTACCATCCCACGTGGGCCATCTGTCATCGACGATCGCATTCCTTGAAATCCTACGTACATCCCATACCAGAGTGATGTACCGATATTCCAGATACTCTCTAAAAACGACTACTTTTATCACTCCGTTTGTCAGGAAACTCGGTAGAGTTTCGCGCCAAGTATACATTCCCATACGTTGTATACACATACTGGATCGCCAAAATGGGACTTGGTACTTTTAATCGTAACGATTGTTATAGCCGAATCGAGGGAGGAAAGCGTAATCGGAGCGGGGTACCGAATTTCCAGGGTTTCCAGGAGACGGTCCTGGAGCTTCACCGTGAGGTAACCGTGGGTAGAATCGCGGGAAATACTCACCACTCGATGCTGCGGTACCCTCTGAGACAGCAGTGAATGGCCTTGAAGGCGCCGAGGTTGGCGTACTCGGTGGTGACGACCTCCTTGGTGAACCTGAGGCCCCCCGGTAGGTTGTCGAACTTGTGCATGGAACAGTAGTCCTTGAGCTCGTTGGCCGCCGGGACGCCGGAAGAGGCGGCGAGGAGCAGAATGACCGTGGCTACGTGACGGCGGGACATTTTCGGGGCACGTGGCGCGTGCGGCCCGCCCGGTGAGTCCTCGCGGACGCGCGCCGCCATTTTGGGGACACGTGACAGGCGCTGGAGCGGCGGGGGTCGGGCGGCCAGGGTCCGCGGAAGGCACCAGGGGTCGGCGGGCGGCCGGGTCACGGCATGGTCCGCGCGTGCGCGGCGCGTCCGCGACGCAATTGGCCGACCGGCGGAATCGGCGGCGCGTCGGTAAGGCAGGGGGTGGCGCCCCTCGGGTTTCCGACTCGTGTTTGTCCTCAAACACCGCGACCGCGAACCGAGTGTTTGCCCCCGACGTCAAATAGTACTCATCGGCGTCTCTCGGGCCGACTTTCCTCCCACTTCACTCGCGCACCTATCGCGACTCGAGAAATCCGGAGAACTCTCGGGAGTTCACGTCGAACAACGCTCCGAAATTGGCAGCCGATACGCGCACCTCGAGCGTCGGCGACTCACTGGCGCGGCGCGGTCGGGGCTCCGAGTCGCGCGCCGATTCGAAATGGGCCGCCTGTTGCCTCGTGCGCGCTCGGCCACCTTCGGCCGGACTCGGCCGCTCTCGGCTCCCTGCCCTGGTGAATGGGCCAACGCACAGTGGTTCGCATTAATGGCTCGCCGGCCGAACTGTCGAACGCTCCTAGACGAGGAATTAATGAACTTTCCGAACAAACTGCGTCCCCGTCCGGGGCATAAATCCGGGGAGCGAACTCGCGCAATTTCAACCGTCACTCCCATGGCGGGATTTAACTCGCGAAGTCTGACCTTTGCTCCTTTACGATCAAACAAAATTCAACGCCTCGAGTACTTTTATCAATAATCCATACGACTCGTTCACACGCGTCTCCGGTCCCTCGGCGATTCCACCTAGGTCCCGTTTCACAAAAGATTGCGTCATCCCTCTCCAGCGCGAGGTCACCGAGATACCTGCCGAGTGATTCACGATTTCCCGAAGACGTCGCTCCGGGTCGGGAAGGAAGATCCGATAGTTTGCAACCACCCTGTGCATGCTTTCGAGAGGATTGGTCAACGGCCGAGTTTAGTGTAAACTAGCGAGCAGAGACACGCCTCGTAAGCGGAATGCTCCCACCGGCAGTCGTTCTTGGAATCTGGCCATCGAGTAACCGCACGAGCAGAGAGACACTCGGTGTACCCGAAATTCCTCAATGAACCTGCGACGCGTTAACGTAAACAAACATTCTCGGAGTCACGGGTATTTGACTTGTTAAGCACACACCGATCGCCTCCGAGCTGACGTGAAACTTACAATTCGTTTGGCTCTCACCGCTACATCTTCGGGCTTTCTTTACCCGAGGTTATTCCTACCGACGTGACGAGAGTGCAAGATATATCGTCCACAGGTGAGTCGGCTCGTCCATTTTTCTTCCCCCTGTTCAACATCCTCGGCACGGAAGAACGTCGACATTATTCCCAGGTATTTAGGGGAATAAATTTCCTTAACGCGATGAAAATCCAGATATCGCTTCGGTGGTACTCCCAAAGCTCGGTGCACTCGCGCCATGCAATCCCCACGGCCTGCGGTCATGCGGCGCGTAGTAAATAATCTGAAAACAAATCAATAGCCCGTGTTAAATATTTTAACAGCTCCAACCATGGAACGTTGGGAGTTCTCCCCGGGCGCGAATCGCGCCTCTAATTTCCACCGGGTGGAAAGTTCCGGCCGAACTTTTTCCCGGAACATCCGACCATACGTCGGGGGCTTGCAGAAGGTAATCGGGTACTTACTTTTAATTATAAGTTGAATTCCTACCTCGCCACTACGTGCCGGCCCGGGCTTCGACGACGACGCATTAATAATCTTTCCGTCGAGGAGGCGCGGTATTCCCAAGGACGGGGACAGGAAGTTCGATTGTTTCGCCGGCAATAATTCTGCCCAAGTCCTCGGATAATGCGACTCGGCTCCTGGAAGAATCGACGTTTCAATTCGGAGTTCCCGCCGAAGTTCACGTACGCGGTATTACTTCTCCTCGGAGGGTGCTCCACCGTCCGTGCCGTCGACCTCCTAAAGTCATCATTCAAGTTTCCGCGATCGGCCATTTCTCCGAGGGGATCGCAAAAAGGGTCGATCGATCTTTTCCGCGACAACTTCCTGCTGGGACGCCGCGATAGATTGCATTGTACCATGACTTATGCGCCGTGAAATAAGATTTATTCACCGCGGGCGAGTACCTGGCAATTACTGCTCCACTAGGAGCGTTTTCTCGGTCGATGGTCTGTCGGCATTAAAATTTCAATAAATTACCTGGCATTTTTTCCGTCCCCCGTTGGGTCTTGCTCGACGCTATGTCGGGTCATTTAACATTCTCCGGTTTTTTTTTTCCACCGCAAAACCTTTTCCGTTACAACTTTCTCAGGAAACGTCTCGATAAATTCCACCGTGGTATTACTCCTCGTATTGTGCCGCGTTGTACCTGATAAAGTGTAGAGTCAAATTAATATTTCTCAGGGCGATAATCTTCTTTCACGGCCGCCGTCGGTAATATCGACTCCAGTGGGAATAAAATGTACCCCCCCTCTTTCCAATCGCCGTAACGATTGGAGGTGGTCGAATCGTTCAATTACTACATTACCGATACGTCGTGCTTGTTTTCTATCGGCGCGTGGCTTAATAACAGTTATCACGTACTGCGCGTGCGTAATTGCCCGCCCTAACGCAGTTCTCGTAAAATACGCTTAACATCCCGTCTTTGAAAAGTACACACTATGCGGAACGTACGATTGTTATTTCTTACGCGTCCACTTACATAAACAAGTAAACACCTTTATCTCTCTCTTACACTCGAGGACTGCTTCCTCTTAGCACTCGCCATGGCAGAAGAAATGGTCATTTGGTACCCGTTCAATCTGCAGGAATAAACAAAATATCCTAATATTAATAATCTCTCACTTTTTGATTTTCCTTGCCTCGTATTTCTTTTTGTGTTTTTTTTTTTCGAACGATATTTCCTGATATTTTTCACGTGGTATATTTCGAATGGAGGTTGGAAATGGATTTAAAAAAAGTCTGAGTCCAGTTGTATCCCGGCTGTGCGTTGGTTGCCGAACATGGAGCCGAACGTTTCGCCGGTCCAATAAACTCGTTTAACCGAGTCTCAGGAAGCGATCGTGTTCGCTTCCGCGAAACATGTCGTTTTTCACAACGACGAATCCGGCTTGGCCAATGCGGACGAGTCGCCGCGTGATTGGTCCTCGAGCGGATAATAAACCGTTGGAAATTACTTTCTCCGGGCGTAAAAATACGAGAAATAGTCTCGCGAAAATGTCTGTCTCACGTTTCACAAGGCGAGGTAACACGTGATCGATACGTTTCGCCTGTACGGATGTTAAGGTGATATGAAAGTGCCATATACGTATGACACGGTCTGAAACTTTAACACGTGATTATGGAGGCCCCAAGGAAGAACACGATGCTCGTAAAATTATATTTTTCGGAAAAAACTGTCTTTTTTTGGTTCTTGTCAGAGATAAATACAGACTTTTTTCGAAGAATGAAATTTCACTGGCATCGCCTTCTTCCTTAGGGCCTCCATAATCTCGTGATGAGGCTTCAAATGATTCGGTGCACCCAGTTTGGAGAAAAGTTTGATAAATGTTTACACGTTTTGTTATATATATATAATATATATATAGCCGCGGCTTTAACCTACTTTCCGGAGACCTGGGCCAAGATGGCCGCCAATCGAGTTCGCCGTGGTTCGCGATCTATCCTTGGGATTTCGTATGTAACGCCCCCATCGAAAGAGCCTCGCATTAGGTGTGTCCTTTCGACTGTTTCCGAGTGTACACGTTCCCCTCGTGTCCGCTCTCGGTCGAGCGTTCTCACGTTCCCGGAAATTGGGAGTCGGGGTCACTCCTCCGGTCGGCAGCTTGTCGGCGATTCTCCGAAGAAAATCGCGTCGCGACGCGCGCGGACCGGCGCGGGCGGGCGTGAGCGGGCTCGGTTGCGCCGAAACGTACGCGCGACTCGTCCGCCGGTGCAGCGGTGTTGCCAGTTCGGTGCAACCGTACCGGTCCATATTCGGCACATCTTTAGAATTAGTTACCGCCGATTAATTTGAAACTTCGTACACCCGTGCACCTTGACCCGCTGATTAGGAATAAAATAATGACTATTGGCGAAAATTTTATCTTCAATTTGAACTCGATTTATTACTAACCTTAGGAAATTTTCACGTTATTACGATTAATATAGGCTTAAAAGAGAAAAGGAAAAAGTTCCAGATAAAAATTCTAGCTTTTGAGAATATGCGTCTTTTATGTTCTGTATACTTTCTTTCCTAATAAGGTTATTTTTCGAGAATAATTACAATAGATACATTTCCCGGTTCCCTTACACGAACTTAATTCATGTCGCTGAGGGAATTTTAAGCTATGGAAAATAATCATGGAAGTCTTGAAAATGATTGCTTTTATGTTTTTGTGGTTGCGGGAGGTCTTTGCATTCGTTTTTTTTTTTACTGTCGAGGACCACTCGTATCGGTTCGAATAAATTGAGATTTTAGTTATCTAGACTGGAACGATAATACCGTTCGCGGAAAAATATGATTTTGTGGCGGCGCGGAAAAGTGACCATCCTGGCAACACCGCACGGCCGAGATGGCGCGCGGGCTGCAGCTTTTGAACCGCTCCCCTTAGCCGGCTCCGAGAAACGGGATCTGCCGGAGTCGGAAATTAAGGCCAAGCGACCTCTAACTAGGAGCGCGTGCACGTTAGTTGGAGTTCGCCGAAGCAGATTGGACGATTGCGAGCTGCCTACTCGTAGGATCTGTCGATCCGCCGATCTGCAGGGAAGTCCGCGATGCTCCTTGGGAATCCACCCTCCTTGGCGCGCGGGACAGAAGCGGCGGCCATGTTGGTCATGCGCAGTACCCCCACTCTGCCGGCTCGCGCCGTACGCGCGCCTCGATGACGCCGCCATCTTGAATAATCCAGGAAGTACTCGTGAATTTGAGAAGAGATTGTTAGTCATCTGAGCAGGAGAAATGGTAATTGAATTTAAAAACCATCTCGTACGATAGGGAGTCTGCCTCGGTGAGAAAAAAAAGACACGGTGGAAAGTCCTTTTTAATCAAAAGATTTTGCCAGGTTTTCGCCATTCTTCGCGAGTTTGGACCGGATACCCTTAAGGTGATATAAAAGTATGATATATACGTACCAAAAAACCAAGATGTATATGAAACTTTTCTACAAACTGGGTGCATCGAATTATCTGAAACTTTAACACGTGACATTTCATTTTTCGAAAAGAAAATATATTTATATCTTTTGGTTCCTGTCCGAGATAAATGCAAAATGTTTTTTCGAAAGATGAAATTTCCCGAGCATTGCGTTCTTCCTTAGAGCCTCCGTAATCACGTGTTAAGGTTTGAGATAATTCGGTGTACCCACTTTGGGGAAAAGTTTTATGTATATTTTGACTTTTTGATACGCATATATCACACTTTCATATCACCTTAAGTTCTCGACTCGGGCGAGCCCCTGGACAAGGAGGACCGACAAGTGGGAAAGTTGCGATCACGCGAGGGATACCCTCGAGTGACGGTAAGTTAATTACTACTTGAAAGTAATTGCACCGGCCGTAGGAGCGCGTAGGCCGTAATTCACGAATTTCTAGTAACACGCCGCGGCGCGGCGCCAATTGGGAGGAATGGCAAGTTAATTGCGATAATGGCGAGATTCCCGCAGACCGAGGAAATGCCAATTGATTTTGGAATGAGCACGGGCACAGTTGAGCAGCCCACTTAGCGAGGAGGAGGAAACCGTTGACGGGAATCGATGCGTCGTACGCGGAAAAGCGTCGGTCCTCATCGTGGAAAAGCACCTATAGGGTGAGGAATGGAGAGCTCGCAACGAGAGAGAGGTGAGAGACTTTTTAAGAGTAAAAATGAACGGCATTTTGCCGCCTCTCGGTGCAGGCGATTTATAAAGGTCGACGACGACTTTTCGCACGGCTTACCGATTATTTAATTCCTACATTTTTCAGGCCTGGTATGGCGAAACTGTGATTATTACACTTACGGGTCTACTACGGGCTACTTAACAAGGAAATGAACGGTAAATTATTATTATCTCCTGGGTGTTTATCAGTGGGACTGGTATACGGAGTGCTTAAAATTGGTCAGAAACCGCGTGACTTCGTTACGAGGAAACGCGGTAGGTTTATAATTCAGGAATGCAATTATTCATTACTAGTCGCGTCTCGTGTACCGTATGACGTAATGATAGAGCCCTGCTTCGAGGTTTTGCGCTATCAGCACGTGGAAATCTACATACCGCCGGTCAGATCGTTTCCCAGGTGGTCGACTTATCATTTTCCGAGAAACTTCCGCACGGCATTTTCTCTATTACTGTAATTGATCGTGCCGCATACTGGCGCGATAAATTTTCCGTCGTTAAATTAACGAGGCCGAAATACGTATTCCGTTGCGTTTCGAGGGCGGAACTGGCACTGCCTCGAGTTGGTCTAAATGCACGGGAGACGGCGGAACGATGTTTCCTATACTTTCTGGAATAAATTTCCATGCGTTTGTCGTTCCTCACGCAATGATTTATTATCATTATTAATGATATCTGGATACGCGTTGATATCCCGCGATGTGAACTATAGGACAATCGGTATTCCATGTGAAACGTCGATTACTCCCGGCCGAATGGTGTCAAATTAATAATTTCATTTGCTGGCGATTAAATTACCATGATAATGTCGTTCTGTTTGGCCGACTCGTTCGATCGGCCGAATGTGAATAATAATCGAGGCTTGGTTATTGCAGCTGACCATCGGATCGGAAGGTGCGGAGGGCATTTCATCGCGAGGCCTTTCCATGGAAAATCATCCCGTAATTTCGACGCTGACGAGAGGTCGAGGAGGAGGTCGAGAGGTAGAAAAATATGCTCCTGGGCGGATATTAACAGTCGGACCTGCGGTATTATATTCCTCGGATATTTTCATTTGACCCGCCTCGACGTGTGTCCACGGTTTAAATGTCGGCGGTCGTGGTTAATCGCAGACTAACTTCCCGATGCCGGTGAACAGGGATCGGGAGATCTCCCGGGAAAAGTCGGGTAATCAGTTCCGTGATAAACAACTGCACAGAGATTACATCGGAATGCACTTCCAGGCCCTGATTACTGGCGTTATCCTGTATCGGCGCGTGAATCACCGTTGACTTCCTTGGGAAATCCCATTGTTAATGAAAAGGATGGATATGTTGAGTTCACGCTGATCCGTGGGCGTTGCCGATGGAAGAATGGACTACCGCAAAACAGGCCCCCCCCCCCCCCCGGCGTATCAATTGATCGGATTATAATACCGGAATCTCCAAGTTGAACTATTCCGAATCGATTAGGACTATTCGCGGTACTTGGAATTCAATATCGAACTTCGAACCGGGGGTCCGATCTGCTGGAATTAATTCCTGGATCTGGCGCTCCCGGGAACTCCCGGGAACAGAAGGGAGAGAGGAGCGATCGGATTTCCGGAATTGTCGGAGGGAACCTTTGCCGATATCTTCCCTCTCTTCCTTGGAACCTTGGGAGGACTTGCCAGGGTTAGTGCGCGATGCATTTTACACGTTATCTCTGTACCTTCCCAAGGTGGTACGCCGATTACTCGTACCACCATCATGTCAAGTAAGACTTCCCATAACGCGTGCCTCCGATGTGCCATTAAGCGAGCCTTATCGTTACAATCCCACCGTATACGTCGACGTCGGGAATTGACGTCGGTGTCGGGGTGTTGACGTTTAATCGGGCGCGGATATACCAGCGTCACTTCCGGCTGACTAATTTCCGCGAAATTATTCCCCAATCTCGCCGTGACATTGTCCAATGTCGAGGTCGGCCGACCTTTGTGGGTTTTATATATTCTTTTTTTTTTTTTCTCTTTACGGTAACCCCGAGGTTGTGGGGAAAATGTCTAATCGGGAATAATGCGTGCAGACGTTGGACGGACCCTCTTGACTCGTGTCGTTGGCCTAAGTACTTTTAGACCGAATCGCGGAGGGCTAAGTGAAGCCGGCCGTTCGCTCGAACTACCAAACATAGATATAACGCGCAATTACCGCGGGTCTCGTGTTAACCGGCGATTCTCGTAAGCCGCGACCATGCCGGGCAGAAAAAGGCGGCATTAATGCGTGGAAACGATTCGAGGAAGATGTCGCTTGGTGCAGGTGTACCTACACCAAGGCAGTGCTCATTATTGCAAGTAGAGCCCGACTTGGCGAGGTGCATTGTGAAACGCTAGAATCGCGTTGCGTCACTACCCCGCTAAAGAGTATGTCTCTCCATTGCGACTAGATCTAGCGACTATGGAATGAACGGGGGAAAAAAAAAGAGGTATAATATGTAGAAATCAATAATGTCACGGCGACGACTCGATCGCCAGCTAGGAATGAACTCGGGTGACGAGATCAGGCGCAAAAGAAGTCGAGTGGTGGTGTCCTTTTTTTCTTCTTCTTCTTCCTTTTTTAACGAGCAACGCGTAATTGGGTCGCCGTAGTAATGGAGGACCGATCGAGGGGCCAATTAACGCCGTTCGTGGGATCTTGCGGGAATATTACCTTGACTTCTGTTACGCCTCGGCCACTTCTAATCGCGGTGGAAATTAAGCGGTGATTTTTATCGTGCGTATTAAAAGGAGGAAAATAAGAAAAAGAAAATATTGTCGGAGCTACTGCCAATGTAATTCGCCAGCCGCGTCGTTAGCGTGTGGTCTTTTGCTTTTTAATTTGGTACTTCGTTGCATTTTTTTTTTCTTTTTTCTTTTTCCGTTTCTTTTTAGGGGTTTTTATATGCCACGTGGGCGCCTAGTTGCACATGGAAAACTTTCGACTTGTTGCGTGGGGAGATTTTGCCCTCGGTGTTCTTGGGCGGGGTTTTGCGAGTTTATTTCAATTTCGGGGGTAGTAATATACCGCGGGGGTTGTCCTCGGGACACTTGAAGCCGCCATGCGAAATATAACTCCCCCGAATTCTGTGGAAATGAAATGTGCACCGAGTTTCCTGATCAAACGTTTTGCTTTCCCGGTGGAAACTCGGTAGCGTGAAGTTTAAGCTCATTTCCAGCTCTACGGCGAATTCTACCATGTAGGTGCGGCGAGGTTTATTGAAAATCCCCCTTCCGCGGGAATTTATATGCAATATGATGAATTTATATATAAGTTATAGTAGGACCTGCGGCTCGTTGCGATAATTGAAGGGGTTGAGTTTATTAAGGTCCACGATTTTCAGGATTTTGGAGAGCTTTCGCCTTATTAAAATTATTCCCTTCTGGGTTGAAATAGAAAAATCTGGGGGTGTATTCGTTGATTGGGATTTGTACATGACTTGGGAAATACATTTGTAACAAGATTTTGTCGACAGGAGGGTGAGGGTCTAGTCTCTCAACAGGGAGGAACGACCCTTGTTGCCCAACAGAGCGTACAAGTCTTTTAATGATTTGTCGAACAGGAAGTCATTCACTTTTTCCATGACCAGGTTGTTGATGACCTCCGTTATTTCATCCTGATGACCGTCGAGCAATTCTGGGGCCATGTCGGAGATGACGGTGCTTATAAGAGAGGACACTTCCTCGTCGTTGTAAAGTCCGTTGATGACAAACTAAAGTGATAACAGGAGCTTCGGTTAGGCTAAATGCCTTTGGAAAGGTGAAAATTTTAATTTTAATTAAGGAGAATATAATCATTACGTACATCGAGGGAGTCCAAAGAAAGCGTCGTGTCCATGTCGCGAATCTGAACGTTCTTTCCAACTTTCAGGTAAATCGTGGACTCGAATCGCAGACCCTTGGCAGTGAACCTGAAAATCAATTCAATTGTTTATTCGGATTCATGAGTACTGAGAGGACGCATCCTTATCAGCAATCGAAAGGGAAACTGTTCCTGCAGAGGCCACTCGTTGCAGAGCCCCAGGTACTCTTCGTGACTTTAACGACTTGTTTGACTAGGTAAAGTCATTTCAATTTCGACCGTCGGTACGTGTCCGTCCGTCCTCTCTTATCCGTGAATGTTCCCTACCTTATCAGCTGCTGTTGCAAAATCCACCTAGTTTCAAACGTCACGTGAAAACGTAGATAAGTTATCGACGTCTTTGGAATTCTGTCTGGTGATGATTTCCCGGTGATTGTTTTTATAATTTATATTTTACAAGGGGTAGGAATTTTTTTAGATGGCAGAGTGTTACCGTGGGTCCATAGCCATTTGTGTGGCAAATTAGCAGGTGGACCAAGGATTGCAAAATTTAATGTTTTGATTAAAAAAAAAATGGAGCGAGAGAATTGACGAAATCGATCCGTCAATAGCGATCGGGTACACGTCGACATCGCGTATCACTTCGTACTGATGGTACGTATGCGTATGCGTGTGTTTTTTTTTTTTCTACCGTATACAAAAGTTGCGCAATTCGAGATAATCGCGGCTTTCTGAGCAATCTCGAAAAATCGCTCCGGTGAAGGTAAGCCGCTGCTCGTGATCGGATCGACACCACCTGCGAGGCAAGACCAGCCCACGTGCCAGCCCATATCGGCTAATTTCATTATCGTTAATCAAACTCTGGTGACATCTCTTTCGACTAATCGGATGACGGGTGCCCCGCCCTTAGGACTCGGAGGCGATAATAAAATTAACGACGGCCTTTGGTACATGCGATCGCCTAAATTGCTCGACGAGGTCGATGGAGTTTCCCCGGGATTAAAGGAAGAGAAAAATATTCAAGAAATTAAATAAACAGTTATTACGTATATGTCCGATCGCTTATGATTAACGTATTTCCAGGAGCTACGATGCACTACAACCCTCCGAAATATTGATGCTCAGTGGATGGAGTACTCACTTGATGTCTCCTGATCCTTGGACGGGAACAAAATCTCCTATGTTGCCCTCGACGGTGTACTTGTCGACGGTTCCAGCCAGTTTAGGCCAGGTGAGACCGACGACCAACTTCGTCAGGCCAAACTTTGCAGGCCCGACCTCGTACACGGACAGTCCGTCCACTTTGACGCCCTGCACCTCGCCGGATATCCTGTCGCAGGAGGTATTATAATTAAATCTGGTGCTCTCTCTCGTTATTTCATATTCGGCGCTCCCTTTTCTCCAGGGTGTACTTCTCGAACCCATCGACAGTTCTACTTCGTCGAGGGACTTTTCCTTGGAACAGTGCCGATTATTCCGCGAGTACTCACTCTACGCCGTCCTCGTTCAAGACGAAGGGTTGCTCCTTCAGGTCCAGGGGGTCGAGCACGGGGATTCCCAAAGTGTCGTTTCCGGTCTGCAACGTCTCGCTGAAGCTCTCGAGGAAAGCCTTGAATTGGTCGTGCAATGACCGCGGATCCCTCCAACTGGGGTCTTAAAAGACGTCGAGGAAAGCTTAGGACATTGTTCAGTAAGGAAATCCTCTTTCCGGCGGGACTGAACGACCGGGTCTTTGACTTATGAAGATTCATTTGTTTTCATTCTTTTCAGGTGACTCACCATTAACGTTGACTCTAATCGACAGGGTAACGTCGAGCGCCACGAATAGGAGTAAAATCGCAATAGTCGGCTTCATTTTCCTGAAACACGTAGACGGTGATCTTTCCCGATTCTCGGCGAGGAGGAAAGAGTGACGCGAAGGTATCAACAGGAATGGCGCAATTTTTTTTTATTTAACTTCATCGATACGGCGAAAAGGTGGACGAAATATGGACGGCAAGGAACGCGAAGATTGCGGTTCCTCAAGCGATAAGATCCCAAGCGCGTTATGTTGTGTACCTCGCCGGTCACTTTTTCTGTTTTTGCACTTCTTTTCTTTTTGTCGACGTGCTTTTACAGCCGTCCTGGGCGTAATAATGAAGATGGAACGGGCACGATTCCGCGGAGCTCCCACACCGCTGCACACGCTTTCGAGTGTTTCCCTTTATACGTACGTTTCCCTTTCCGGAGAAACCAACTCCACCCCTGTCACCGGGAGATAGATTTTGAAAATGCGCGAGAAAGGGGGGAGAGAAATAAAGGAGAAGGAAGGAGGAAGAAAAATTGGGGTAGAAAAATCGGGAAACTCGGGGAAGAGATGAGATTCCCCGAAGTTCGTTTTCCTCGCTCGCCGAGCTCCGCGGCGGAAGTCCCGGGCCGCGTTTCGGTTCGGTCTCCCTTTTTCGAGGCGTGATCGATTCCGAATCCCCCCTTCTCCTCCCCCTTTCTGATAGGATTTCGAGTTCGATACGCCGAGTGTATATGCCGGGGCCTTTTCTTCCCGGCCGGAGCGGGGCGGAGCTTCTTCGCATGACAAAAAGTTCCTCCGATAAGATTCTTTCGTGACTGGAAATGCTCGATCACCATTCCGCCGCGTTCTCCCCGCACACGGAAACCGGACTCGTAAATGGGGTCGACTAATGCAGATATCGTAAAGAACCGCGGTGCCCGGCAAGGGCCGAGGAAAATATTACGGCCTCCCCCGGAAGGAGCGAAGCCGGGCCGAATTTCTTTTTTCGAGGGAGACCCCCCGCGAGCGAGATTTCCAACGTTCCCGTAAAACACTTCGCATTATCGTCCCTCCCGTTTGCCCCTTCGTTCCTTTTTTCTTTTTTTTTTTCTTCCTCCCTCCCCGTCTTTATTATTTCGCTCGGCCGGCACGCTTCGGGCACGGATGTGGCCTGATTTTTTTTATTTTTTTTTTTTAACGGGTCACTCCGCTACTTTCCATAAAGGGTCGAGGCCCTTTCGCTCGCCGACTCCCTTGGACTTCCTCTGCTCGATCACGGACAGGGAAACGAGGAAATAAATATTTTCGCGCCCCTTCGCGAAAATCGGAGGCAAGGGTAAAACTGATTTTTCCGGGACTCTCCTTTTTTTTTTTCCACGAGAAAATCCCGCGGAACGGGTGTACTCACTCTGCGAGGGTATCGGTACTTCCCAACGATTAGGAACGACGGACTACCGTCTCCCGGGAGTCCTCACCTTTATATGGACTTAGATCGCGGTATTATCTCCCGGTGATAAGATGCGCTCGTCCGATCCCAGATTTGTCCGAAAATCCGTTATCCACGGATATAATGGCACATACGTTCGATACTACGACGCTCATTGACAAAGACATGTTTTCATTTCAGCCGGCTTATCACGCACACGTCCCTGGGGAATGGATATCCCGAGCGGCGCCTCCACTTAGTCCTAAGGTCAAGACACGATTGGCGGTGTGGCCACGACAAACCGACACACCCGGTCGCACCTCTAGCCTCGCGATAACGAGTCCACCTGCGATAAAAGGGGTCAAGTAGAGAAAACAATTATGTGAGAATAATATCCAAGCGGCCATTATCGGACCCAGATTCGTGATGGCTATCATGAGTCCTTGGCATCAACATCACCATCGGTGAGGTCATCCTCTCGTTTTAGCCCCCGCCATTTTATTATATTCGACGGCGGGTCATTGATATCGCTTCATGTTCCAGGTTGTGATCCCTGGGATGGAAGTAACGATCCGAACACCGTCCGCAGGGATTCCTCGTCCAATTGGGGTGTCCATTGGTGGTCCTGGTCGCGGTAGTTCTAGGACGCGGCATTTCTGCGAGGACGACGCAGAAACGTCACCGTTCATCCTGGTGCATCCTGGTGCATCCTTGTACTCCGGGTGCCGACACAGGTGACGGCCTCTGCACCTGTCTGGATGCGCTCGTAAAATTCAGACTCGGCGGCCATGACGTAAAAATAACGACCCGACGGTAATAAGAAGCCGAGGGGAGTTAAGCGGCGACACCTGCAGATCCGCCTCCGCGTTCATTTTCTACTCGGAGTCTACCGAGATATCTTCGCGAGTTTTCCTTTCCCTTAGATATTTTCTTACGATTTTATATATCGACCAAGAGGCGGCTTAATGGACTTCGCTGATTCCTTGAAATTCCCTTGACGGAGCTGCCTGCAATGATTGGGCTCTATTGATAAAACCGAGATATGGTCACGGTGGACCTAATACGGCTCTCTTGATTACGTTATCCCATGTCGGGTTAACGGTTGGATTTTTATCGCGGCCCATTAGTTGGAAAAGTATCGCAGATTGTGCGGGAAGGTTATACTGCGGTGTGTGGCCAATTATCTGGCCGTGGATATAGGTCAACGAGTCGTAGGGTAGAAAGTAAAGTGTATAATTCGATGATAATCGTGTGACGTATTTGCTCGGGGTTTCTTTCACATAGCGCGCAAGCTGGATAAAGCGTTATTAACTGGGAAGAGCGCCGAATGATAAGTCGCGATACTGGGTTATCACCGAGTAGGACCGAGCGGGGCCCTTTGAAGACTCGATACCTTCACGATTATCGGATCGGATAATTGAATTGAATTTTAGTTTCACCAGTTCGTGGCGCCCTTTCCTTCCTCCGATAAGGCGCGATAAGCCGGGGACTCGATCCAGCTCAAAATCCGACATTTTAGGGAGCGCTCCGATTCCGGACCGGGTTTAGTCGAGCGTTGAATTGCGCTTTTCACCTCTTGCTAGAGTTTTCGGGTTTCCACCTCGAGGGAGGTCCTCCGTGTATCGAATCCTCCCTTAAGCTGACTTATCGAGTCGACCCGATACCCTCCCTTCGTGGCCGCAAAGGGACGCGGAATCATCGCCGCTTTCCCTCCCCCAGGGCGGCCGATATCACCCTTGGAAATGCACTCGAACCAATTTACCGGGTTCAATCGAATCAACTCCAGCGCCACGAGAGCTCGGGTTACGACGGGAAAGGACCCTAGAAAAATACGGCGAGCTTCTGGGGATGAAGGCAGCTCGAGGAACCCCCGATACCAATAATCCAACCTTTGATTTTTCGGCGCCCCCCGGATTGCTCGCGGACTCCTTGGTACTTTACCTTCGGATTCAATTCTCGATCGACTTATCGCAACGTGTCATTTCAGGGCTTGACTTTGGAGCAACGAGACGCCCTGGGGAATTTTTTCCCGAGGGACCGATGGGAGTCGTCGGCCCTTCCGGCACTCGGGCCAATTCCCGGGCCCCGAGTGAGAGGTCCGGTGCTCCAGCCGACCGGGGAGATCCACGCCGTGGCGGTCTCCGTGCGATAAATAAACCGCAATCGCGACCTTCGACGAGTTTGGGGTTGCCTGGACCAGGGAATCCTGGCGGGTAACCTCCTCGTCCTGAGACAAGGATCCGGCCATCCGTGCCATCCATCAACAGGTATACCGTTCCCTTACATTCTCCCCTTACGCGCGATTGTCCCTCCTCGTTAGTCTTCCGTGAGAAACTAATTTGCCTGTTTCCTCAAGGGGAGGCGTCCCGACGCGGAGGGTGGACACGTCCAGCCGAAGTGACGAAGCCTGCACGACACGCGGAAAGATCCAGGTCGCCGGTGGAAAGATCGAGATGCCTTCGATATCGCGTGCTGGCCACCCTCGAGGAGGTTCTCCGGCCGAGCCGCGGGTTCGCACCCCCTCCGAGAGGGAGGCGCAGTCGCGTCGGGACGGATACCCAAGCGATGCCGGCTTTTCCGGGGATGGCTATACGAGGGGGAGCGTCGTTATCGGTCCACCCTTAAATGATAGGAAAATCACCAGGGCAGAAATTCTCCAAAACCCTCCGTGACCACCAGGTACCACCCAAGTACCTCCACAACATTCATCTAACCTTAAATACCTAATTCAAGTAAAATCCGTATCAAAGGTGGAATACCCTTGTCGGATGCGCCTAATCAGCTTATGACTTTCCAGGAGGGGAGGAAGTCCGACCGTTGCGGTGGACCCAGGGGAAGAGGGTCCTCGACGGCCTTGGAGCGGATCCAGGGTGCGCGTCCCCGGTCCCGTCCGCTCGCGATTCGTCCGCCCGCGAGATTCCGCGTCCCGGGGTGCGAAGCCGGGTCGGCAGGGGTCGGGCGGGGGCGACGCGGACCAGATGGGCGGCCGACGGCGGGGGGGGGCTCGCTCGCCGATGCGCGAGAGGGCGCGAGATGGCGCGGTCGGGGCCGGGGAGTGTGGGAGAGAGAGAGATGGACCGGAGGGAGGGGGATGCGCGGCCGAGTCGCGTCGCGCCGCACCTGGCCGGCTCACCCTCGGCTCGGAGACGCGGCTCGGCCGAGAGCTCAGTGCGGCCTGAACGGTTAGCCGGCCTACTTCGCTCGCGCGAGCCTTCTCTCCTCTCCGGGTCAGACCCGAGCCTCCCTCTCTCGCGCGGAGAGAGATCCGGTCCACCGGCGGCCGCACCGAGCGACGCGCAGCGCCGACCCCCCGCGCCGCGAGCCACCGTCCCGCGTGACGGAGAGAGAGAGGGAACGCGGACGGAGAGACAGAGATAAGGGGAAAGAGGAAAGAGAGAGAGAGAGCGCGCGCGCGCCAGCCGACTCCCTGCGAGGGTCTCGCGAGGAGGATACGCGCGAGGGGAGGAAATCGCGCCGCCGGCCGACCACGAGCCAACCCTCGCTACCTGCCCGAGATCTCCCAGCCACCCCGGAGGAGACTCCCGGTCGCCCGCCCGAGACTCCTGGCTGCACCCCCACGGAACCCCGTAAGTCTCGGCCTCTTATCTCCCGTTTCTCTCTCTCGACCCCCGACAGGCGGCGATCGACGCCCCGGTCGCCCTAACTCTGAGCTCGGACCCAGGTGATGCCCCCGACCCCTCTCCACGACCCCGGTGTCCAGGTGCATCCTCGACGCTCCCGGAAGGGGTCCGCAAACATTCGCCTCTCTCTTTTTCTCTCTGAAGGGGCTTCCGTCGAGACCTTCGGTTTTCTTCAATTCTTTTTCTTTCTCTCTTGTATTTGTCTCTCTCTCCATTTTCTTTTAGAGCCATTTGGGAGGTTTCCTAGGTGTCCCGTGCCCCGACTGGGTTGCCATTAGTTAAGCTTTTAACCGGCCGTTTTCTTCTGGGCTTGTACGCGATACGACCGTCCTCGTGATAACGCTGCCGAGGACTGCACATCGTGCGGCGCAGTGACCACCGATACGCGGACTCTCGATAAGGGTTATCGGACCACCTGTGGGTAATCCTATGAAGGAGAGCATCGCCGGGGAAGAAGGGGTGAGACCTAATCGATTTACTCGCGATTTCGGGAAAAAGCGGCTTCCGGGCCCGAAGGATGGCTTTGGGAGATATTCCCAGAGACCGTCACTTCGCGCTATCGGGATCGATTTAGTAAACCACGGGAAGGCGGAATATTGTTTACGCGGCCGGAACTACTGGCCGATCCTTCCGGGGGGAGGGGCCACCCACTCGCCGTTCGTTATCACTCGCTGGCAAGTGCAGCCGATTTGTAGGGCCATTATCCGTATCCAAATCCCCGAAACGTATCGCGCATTGTATACCTCGTATCGCGCTATACTGTGAAGAAAGAAAGAAAATAGAAAAAGTCATTGAACCGGAGAAATATTTTGTTAATTCAAAGGATAATTACTTGACCGAAATGAACCCGAATAAAATGGGGGGCGAGGTTTCTTCGGGATTATTGGAATTTATTTGAGCTTATCCGAGTGGAATAATTATCCTGTGAATTAAGGAAGTATTTCTTTGGTTCGGTGGATCTTTTTTTCTTCACAGGGTAGGCATTACCTATTCATCGAAGGGATGTAACCCAGGAGGTATTCTTCTTGAATTTTGGAGAGGTCGGGAATTTTTTTGCTCATTAATATGCCCTGTGATAATTTATTCAATCCGGGTTCCTTTGCAAGGACGAGGATCGGCGCGTCCAGGTTACTACAATATTAGCGAGAATTCCCGTTCAGTACGGCTCTCGCCGTTAATCGGCGTCTTCTTCCAGGACCCCCTTAGTGCCCGGCAAGAAGTCCGGGGTTTGTACACCCCGGTGGCGAGCACTTACCCGAATTATGGGAATTAGCGCAATTACCGCGGCGATTGCCGGACGGGAACGTGCCTCGAGCTCCATCAGGCCGTCCGAGAGTGCTCCAGGTTTAGTCTCCGGATCTTCATCTTTCTCTGAATCGAGCCTGAACCCTCTCTCTCTTCGTCTCTGTTCCTCCGCGCCCGAGACTGCCGATTCCTTCGGTGTGAAAGAAATATTTCCGCCATTATTACGCTCAGGAGAAAAAAATTCAAGGGGAAAAAAAAATGAAGAAAAAATAAGAAAATCGCGGCTTACCCTCTGAAACGGCTTTTGTATCACGAGTTTGTAGATTTGTAGATTCGACAACGGTAGGAAGGTTTTCTTTCAGAGGAACGGAAATGACGAAACCGGGCTCGCCCTTAAATCCTCGTTACAGGTGCCCGAAGGTTCGTTTAGGAGGAATCGGGATTTCGGGATTTTTCGCCAGGGCGCCCGTTAATTACGGATCGATTCGCGTGTCTAATAACACCCTACGGTCGCGCCGGGATTCCGAAATGTTGAAACGTAACGAGGTCCGGGGTAGGAGTCGGCGTTTCCAAAAATATCCGTGACCTTTCCTCGGCGATCCATCGGCGAATTCTGACGTCGGCCAATCCGATCGTTCCCTTTCCGTTGGCTCGCGTTAACCTCTCTTAATTTCTTTCTCTCTCTCTAAATACGACCAATTAGCGGTCGTCCTTCCTAGGAAAATCCTGATTACCCTAGCGAGACCTACGGGGAGGTCCTCGGTAAGGCGTCGATCGCGCATCTTCTCGGACATTTTTAATTTTCCCTATATTTACGCTTTTTCTGCTTTTAGTTGTCCTGATATCGAGAGATATCGATCGCTGTTCGATATTCGGGGAGGTCTTTTCGGCCCTTTCCCGATTCTTCTGGCGGTTTAATGGTCCCGGACCGTTCGTCACCCTCCCACGGTGTACAAAGTGGGCTAATGAGTGTGCGAACAATCCGAAGGAGGGACCCGAGGGGAAAGCCGGCCTCACGAAGTGGACTTTATTAGCCTCGAATACTGTACACCCCCCGGGCGTATGGCGAAGCAATTAATCAAAGGGCCGGTGATTAAATTCCCGGGCCGTTTTTCTTGCCGGGCGGCTCCTCGGCCATCTTCGATTAACACCACCGTAAATCCAGGAGCACCGCCGATAAACCTTGGCAATCCATTAACCCGCCGGCCCTTTCTTTGCCTTGGCCCCTCCACCCTTTATTCGGGAGCTCGGGGAGAAATGGTAACGCGGGAAGACCCGCGGAATCTCCCCCGTTAATCGGCCCTTCTCCTCTCTCTGCGACGTTTCCACTCTACACCTGTTCCACTTAATCCCTCGGATTTGGTGGACGTCTCCGTTGCGTGACTCGTATTTTAGGACACTGCGACACGCACGTTAATGCGTGGAATTCCTCTTATTCGTGTGGAACTCTCTCGTGTGGCGGTGAAACGGAAAAGTGAAACCCCTCCAGTGCGTCGTATACGCCGCGTCTCGTGGGTGAATTCAATACCACCGTGATAGGGTAAAATCCTGATTGGGCAGAGATAAAAAGAAATCAATTTTTAGTTTTTTTTTTTTCGTAATTTAGGAATGCTGGAAATCCCTGCGACCAGGAATATCATGTACATGCATCTTGACAGGGTCGCCCGATTTAGCGCTTCGGTCATGCAGGCGTATGACGATGTGGTGTCCAGTGGTCTAAGTAGCGCAATTCCTCCTTCCGGTCTCTTAAACTGCGATCAGCCTATGTCCGCGTCGAGCGTATACACGTGGGCGCAGATATTCGTTCATATCACGGAGAACAGCCCGAGGGGGACCTTTTCTCGACCAAACGACCGCCTCGTGATTCTTTTTTTTCTTTTTCCCTCCTTTTCTCTTTTTTCTTTACACATTTTCGTATACCTAAACGACGCGAGTTCCGAGCTATTAAATCGACCCTGGGGAGACGATAAATTCGTTGCTTTTCCCCGGGAAAAAAAAAAATAAAAAAGAGAACTCGGAATTTTATCCTCGAATGGCGCTCCTCTCATTCGCGAATGGGCTCTTATTATCGCGAAACGACGGGACGCGGAGGGACCCGGGAGATAAGGAGGTTAGATGGACCAAGGGATGCTGTGGAGAGGAGGCGAAAAGGGCCCCTGAGTCTGACCATACGCTCGCGTTTTCTACTTCCAGCGGAGTAGCGTTAAGGCGACACGGGCTGACCATTCGGGGCTTTTACTCCTGCCCTCGGAAACGTCGCAGGAGGCCCTCGTCATCGGGATCCTACCCAACCGATCGTTAAATATTCCCCGACGAAACCGGGATTTTGCCTACCGGACATATTTCCCCTCGGAATTTACCCGTAATTCAATGTAAATTGCGCCTCGACGCGCCGCTTTAATTTCACCTGGCAGCGGAGGCAGGTTTAATTCCACCTGAAAGGGATTTCTCTTTACGGCCGCGGGAGAAACGCCGATTAATTTGCATTTCCCCGTGTAATAAAGCCCCCTTTTTCCGGCCCATCGGAAACAAACGTTGCAACAATTACTTCCGTTGGGACGTGCCCGCGGAATGGCGTGCGGCCATACGCACGCGGTAGCCAGTGCGTCGATAAAACAAATGCACGTGAGTTTTATCGACGGGCAGGATGGACGCCGCGTCGTCCTGGGATATTTAACAATTGCACGGCACGGCGCACAGTGGGAGTAGAATTATTAATGAAAAATATAAATAATCTTATTCGAATCAAGGTATGCAGCTTCTTAAAAAAATTGTCTCTCTCTTTGGTAAGGAGATTTAGGTGAAATCATATGAGGCAGAAAATATCAATGCTCTAATTTTGATCGTAATAAGTAGTTACATGCGGTTGCTGCCGGTCCGCCATTTTGTTTCTCTTTCGAGGAGAGTATTAAATTGAGATCTTCTTTGCAGAAAATATGAACACTCTAATTTGGATTTTTCAACGTAGCTTCTATCACAAAATGTGGTTACTTTCAGACCGCCATTTCGTTTCTTTGAAATTTAAAGTACACGTTTGAAATCAGCGACCCAAGGAACCTTAAGTTCGTAATGGTTTGACAAATTTTCTCACCTTTCTGGATTTTTCGCCAGGATTTTCGGATTCTAGCCCACTGTGCGGCGTTGACGTTATCAGTGGACAACTTTGCTGCCGGCGGGGTTATCCGTGATAACGCGTGACGCGGTAACGAGGGTAAAAGAAGAGAAATCAAGGCGTATCTCTTATTACGCGACTCGGAATTTTTCCTCTCTTTGGAGGGGGAAAAAAAAAAAGAAAGGCGTGAAATACGAGTAGCGATCTCGATCGACGAACACGAGGGTCGCGGTTTTGGGTCGCCGAGATACCTACCGATCCCTCCTCGCCAGGGGCGGCAGAGAACCGACAACCTCCACCTTCGTTACGCTTATAACAGGCATTATGCTCGCCTCTATATAGGCGGTTAGATTCTTATCTAACCGGGTTAATCTATCCTTTCCTTTCCTGCGGCGGGTGTAGGTGGACGCACGTAGCCGTTGGCGGTCTTGCAGACACTCGCACTCTTTGATCTAAGGTACCCTTAGGTGTCCCTGGGTACCCTTAGGTACCCGTGGGTGCCTCTAGGTACTCCTAGGCGGGTACCTTCGGGTATCTATATCCATGTCGGATCATCCATGTGGGGCGAAGATACACGCGAAGGTCCGCG